AATGTTTAAATGTCCCCTTAAACCACGAACCAGTCAGAATTGTATATTTTTCTAAACAGACCTCATAAACCCTAATTGTCTTCATAAACCACCAGGTTGTCAAGTCATCATAAGCCTGTGGAAATTCATAAGTGAAATGTATGTTTGTTCTGATATGTTTTTCTTATTTTTGAAGTGAAACTTTTCTTCTATGGGTAAAATCAAAAATTTTGACATACTTTTCGTGTTGACCAGATGCAGGGAAAGGTGTGTCCTTATAAACCACCAAAAAGTCATAGTGGCTTTATAAACGACATATGCACGTATGTGTGTGTGTGTGTGTGTGTGTGTGTGTGTGTGTGTGTGCACGTTGTGTGCGTGTTGCTGCGGTGTAGAAAAAAATAAAGCTAACTGTGCCATGCAGATGTAAAGACGATCCAGAAGCAGATAAAATAGGGAAAGAAATGAATTATAAAGGTTAAGAAAAGGAAAAAAGAAAAAAGAAAAGAAAAAGTGTTGTGGGTGTGAGGTGGTGAGGGAACAGGTGAACATATCTAAACACGGATCTAGCAGCTATAAATCCTGACATGTTCAAATCCAGTGAATGCTGTTAATAATAATAAAGTTGTACCTGATGTTGTCTAATAAAGCCAGTCTGTTACTCCTCGTTCTTTGTAGAAACAGTTTATCTACGGAGATCACAGCCCGCTTCCCATCCTGGATGAACTTCTTGCGCAGCGGGAAGAGAAATCGGCGGCGATCCAGAATTTCTTTAGGAAACTGGTCGTTTACGCTGTAGTCTTTACCTTTAAGCTCTCTCCCGCGGCTTTTAACAAGATCTTTCTGCTTAAAGTGCTCAAATTTAGCCACGATGGGACGAGGTCTTCTGCTGTCTGTTCTCCTGGCTCCAAGGCGATGTACCCGATGAAAGGTGATGTTTCCAACAGTTTCCTCAGTTATCTTCATGTGGGTGTGGAGAAAGTTCTTGATGGTTTGTTCGGTTCCTCCGCTTCTCCTCCGGTCTGCTCTGGAAGGCATGCGAACACCAGGTCATCTCTCATGCTGCGTGCCTGGAGATCCAGAACTGTCTCCTTTAGAGCGTTGTTGTCCTGGGAGATCCGATCAAATCCTTCAGTCAAGGAGGAAACCGATTCCCGCAGAGACACGTTCTCAGCAGCGAGCCGCTCCACCTGGTCCTGGCTAAACTCGAGAGATGTTCAGAGGTCCTGGAACACCTTGTGAAGCACCTCAAGCAGGTAGAGTCATCCCTCAAATCCCATCAGCCATTTATCTATGGATTCTAGTAAATCTAGGACATCTTTACAGGGAGATGAGGCTTCGGGGGAGTCCTAGGGACGGCTCCTCTTGGTCCCTGGTGTTTCCATCTCAGCTGCTAATTTCTTTGGTCCCATGACAAAAAAAATCAAAAACTCATGAATATATGTTTGCAAACTTTCTAAATTTTCTCCACTTACCCCCAGGTTGAGTGAGTTATATTTACCAGATTTATTTATTTGCGTTGTCAGTGAATAAATTAGGTGAAAATGCGTCTTGTTTGTGAAAGTTGGTTAACGAGCTACCATGTGTCCGGTGATCGGCCGTCAGCGCATGCTCAGTCCTATCATTTCTCTGGTGTCTCTGGCCTCACATCATCACACAAACATGCACATAGGACTTTGGGGGTGGACAAGTCATGGGGTGCGGGTATGGACCCCATTTCCACATTCCTGTTGCACATTAAACACTTCCACCAATGACATTCCACGCAAACACTTACTTAGGGCCTTGGGAGTAAGCACATTCAACGGCATTTGCCAAGGAGATTTATCAGCCTCATCCCGAGTGCTGGTGCCTACTTCCAATTTTAAACTGCACTTAGACACAGAGGGCTGTGGGGAGAAGAGGGGTGGTGTGGTGGCATCAGCTGGTGTAGGTCAGACGATGCCTGCACTGCCCGCTCACCACAGCCATGAATACACCTTATCAACACGCACCAACACTGTATTGGAGCAGGCGGAGGGAGACTAGGGGCCTTAGCACACCTCTGTTGTCGCTTGGCTTCCCAGGACTGGAGGCTAGGAGGGGGATCTGGCCATCTGGCTGGGGTCTGAGTGGTGGGTCGCTTTGCTCGGCGTTGGGCGGGGGAGCCTGCTCATCAGCACCCCAGCAAAAAGGGATGAACTCTGTGAACCGGTGATGGTTGTACCCTTTGTGCAGCAGTACCGGGACCAGAGTGAATTGGGTGTGTATGGAGAGTATGAGTGGGTGTCTGGCAGGCATTTTTGTGAGTCTTAGGTTGTATGTGCATGTGTGAGCTAGGGGTTGTACGAACTAGTCGACTAGTCGACTTCACGGCTCTGTAGTGACTTTTTATGCCTGTCATCAACTAGTCGCTGTCACGTGATAATGACTGACAAGATGCAGTCCTCGGAAAAGACAGCAGGTGATGAGCCCCTGCGCGTCTGGATCGAGGCGGAGGCGACGCGGTACTGACACCGGCGGTAAAACGGACATTTAACCAAACTGTGACCTTTTCCCTCTTGCAATTTAACCTTCCCCTCACCCCCATCCTAATCTTAACCAGTTTGTGCATGCAAAGCTCTGATCGTTGACGTGCGCTCCAGACATTGCGTCCTGAGCACCGCCAAATCAGGTGTCACCACCTCAAAAACAAATTAAACACGCGATCGTTCATGTCGGCTCATTTCCTTTCATGTTTTCTGTCTGTTATTTGTGCCTGATGCATTTCGCTGCTGCGGAGCGATGCGCATCACCTGTTGTCCTCCGGTGACGCACCCCCAAGATTCCACTATCTCCACTCCGCTCCGCTCCGGCATGAACTCCGCAGCAAAAACGGTCCCGTTGTAGTCGGCCGGCGAGCAGCGGCACTCCGCTGTTTTTGCGGTCGGTAGATCTTTTAGAACTGCAGTTCAAAGGTAACTCATAAGGTGAATATATATGATCCCAGGTAGCAGTTTCTCTTTAGGACTGAGAGGAGATGCAGGAAGATAATAAACAGGCAGGACAGAAAAATAGTCAAATAAAAACAAGTTAGTTTTTGTACCTGCTGGTTGCAACAAACAGACACCATTGAAGGTAATCAGAAGTGAGGAACAGAAAATGAAATAATTATTTTAATGTTTAGAGCAGCAGAAACTCTGAGAGGCTGCAGGCGCATCAGTGAGTTTGCGGCCGCTGCGCAGGGGGAGGGGGGAGATGGCTGAAGTAGGATGCAGAAACTACCGTTGTTAAAAGAGATGTGTTCGAAAATGTGGGCGCAATTTTAATTGTCAAAAACTCCAGCGAACCTGGGTCCCGGGTCGCTGGGTTCCGGGCTCGGGGTGGGAGGCTGCGGGTGGGCCTGTGGGCTTGCCGCTGATATCCCCCGGGACTCTGCCGGCTGCTGGTTGTGGCCCCCCGGGGCAATCCACTGTGCCTCTTGAGGGGGGCAGGGGCTTTTCTGGTCGCAGTCTCCCTGGGGTCCCTGCGCTCTGGGGCAGCTCCTGGATCTCTGGGGCTTGGAGCTCCTTCCATCTCCTACGCATCTTTGGGGGGCAGATCTGTGACCCCTCAACACTCTCTATTGGACGCTCCTATAGATAAACCTTACATATGCAAGCGTGTGTACGCACACAGGTGCTCACATGGTGCTGTCATAAGTATGGACTTGGGCACGTTCAACACATGTCAGCTGTGGTTGCCACTAAATGCACTGTGATTTATTATCGTGTGATTGTTCAGTTAAACAATGTTGATTTTATATTTCCTCATCAGGTTGACGCAGTGATAGCTTGCTCCTGTTGTATTGTTGTGTGTCCCTTTTCTTTTGTTTCCCCTCCTTCTGTAGGTCTAAAAGCAGATTGAGTGTTTTTGTGGGAAACCCCCCCCCCCCCCCCCCCCCCTGTCTCTTCCTTTCTCTTTCACCTCTGACTCCGTGTCTGGTCCGTTCAAAAAACAATAACAATAAAGTTTCAGGCGTGACGTTAAAAGCAGAAGCTTTGATGCTCAACCTGAGAGTAAATCTGTAAGGCTTGTCACCAGAATTCAGACATCAATTCTGTTTGCTTCACAGCCAGACAGGACACGGTAAAAAAAAAAAACTATTACAAACACAATCAGCTGATCTAAAGATGTTATGGAAAATAATGAACCTTCAGGTTATCTTCTTACTTGCTGCTAAGAAAATGACAGAAAGAAACAAGTTCACAACATGTTTAAATGGGATATTTGATTCTAAAACCACTTGCTACATTCCACTGTGCTGTCATGTGGGGCCTTTACTGCCTCTATAGGGAGCCTAAGTCTCTTCCCTTTCTGGTCGGCTCACGGGTCCTCGGAAGAACGAAAACATGAATGCAAGTCAACAGGGCTAAAAACGCTATTTCCTAACCGCTTTGCCTTACGCCCTGGATCACACATATGTTGGACCGCAGTTTAAATGAAAAATAATGATGAGTGTTTCGACCACGCCACTCACGTAGTTTGAGATTTATCAGTTTGAAAAAGTTCGTAATTAGCATGACTACATCGGCACGTCGCAAAATGGTTCTTTTCTCCTGTGGGAGGGATTTGAAGTTCGCTGACTTACAGCCATTTTCCCTCCGTTTTCTCTGCGTCTGGTTCGATGACGTCACTTTCGTGAAGCGCATTTGTAGTCCTGGACTTTATTTCAAACAAAACCTAAAATACAGTTTCTCCCCGTTCGAAAATAAGCACGTTCTTGGTATCAAAAGGAGTGTTTAAAATTCACGGACATCATATGTGAAATCTGTGTCACGTAAGAAGCGGAATTAGAAAACAGCGTTTTTAGCCTGATTGACCTGCATTCATCTTTTCGTTCTTCCGGGGACCCGTGGTCCAGATGTAGATGGGCATGCCTTAGGCTCTCTATAAGCACTCCAAAATTTAATAAAAATTGTCCATTCATTTTCTGGATTCAGGAATGATGTGCCTAAAATATGCAATTTCTAAAAGTCCCTTATCATGACATCACAGTTGGGAAACAGCATCGAACCCCTCACCTGTGGACCCTGGAAGAGCAGCAGCTCTGGTCTCAGCCTCAGGAAGCAGTGACAAAAGGAGCTGGTGTCTGTCTGGTTCTGGTCCATGGTGGTCTCTGTCCTCATCAGCAGGAGTCACAAGGGAGGTAACCGTCTCCTGCTTCAGTACAAGCTGCTCTTCATCCTGACTCATGCAGAGCTCCTCTTGTTCTAGAACCTGCAAAGGTTCTGACTCATCCTGCTCCACTTTCATCTGTGGAGGTTCTGGTCCCTCCTGTAAAGGTTCTGGTTGTTCCTGGTCCAAACTGGAGGTCCTCTCCTGGTTCCAGAGCTGCTGGTCAGTCTGAACCTCCTCATCTTTGCTGACATCATGCAGCGGGAGTTCTGGACAGACAGACAGACCAAACAAAAAGATGAATCATGTGACAATAAGAGAGCACACTTCACTTTAATCATCTGATGCATCTGAAGATGTTTTAGAACATAATGAACTCTTAACCTGACAAACAACCACACACAGTTCTACAGTCAGAGATGAGAACAGCAGGTGTGTGTGTGTGTGTGTGTGTGTGTGTGTGTGTGTGTCAGATTCATTGATTTAGATTCTTACTGACTTCTGGGATGGACACACAGGTACTACAGGTGAGTTTATAGACACATAAACATCCAGATGTTCCTCAGATGCATCAGTCTCTGATGAAAACGGGACTGAGATGTTTTCATGTTATCATCTCCACTTTGAAGCTGCTGACAGCTTTACTTGGTAATGTCCACAAACAGATCAGACTAACAGAAACTTCTAAACAAGTCTCTGATTGTAGAACATCAGCTGGAAACATTCACTAAGTCTTTAAAGTTTGTCTCTTTTAAACGGATTTAGTGGAGTTGCTGAAAATGAAAAACTTCCTAAAACCCCTGAAATGTGATTGATTTATTTCTCTAAAGAGGAACAAAGTTTACCGACTGATTTCAGCTCAGTTGTGTCAAAAAGCTTCAGAACAGCAAACGGACCCAAGCAGACTGTCCTGAGATTGTGTCCTCAGTAAAACCTCATGAGTCCCGCTGCTGTTTCATACCTATTCTGTGTAAGTTGATCTGTGGTTTCCAGCTGATCTCCAGCAGTCTGCGCTGCCGATCGATCTCTTCCTCGTAGCGGACGATGGTTTGTTCAAACTCGGAGAATATTTCTGCAGCAGCAGCAGTTAGCCGCTCTCTGATGAACTCTCTCAGAGACTGAGCTGAAGACATTGTTGCTGCAGAGCCTTAGAGGTTCACCTCACACACCCACACAACAAGCTAACGCTGCTAACCAGCAACAAGCTAACGCTGATAACAAACAATAAGCTAATGCTGCTAATAGCTTTTGGTTGGCGGTTCTGTCTACACTCTCTGTTGGTGAGCTGCGTAAAGGTGCACTACCGCCACCTGCTGGACTAATGTTGGAAAAGCATGAAGAGCAACAACAAGGACGAGATAAAGATGTGGATCGCAGACGCAGTTTCGGTTGAAAAGGCGAGAGAAAAAATATTTAATGCCTTTTAAGATAAAAAGGCAATTCACAATACCAAAACACAAAAAATTTTAAAAAATATAAAACAGAGAAAAAACGAAGAAATTGACATTAAAGTGTGTAGAAAGGGAGAGAGAAAATGAATAAGAAAGATGGAAATCAATGGATCCCGGCAATGGCTGGGTTGGTAGAAAGAGTAGAAAGAAGGAGAGAGTGGTGATGAAGGTCATACAAAAGCCAGCTTGAACAGGTGAGTTTCCAGCTGCTTTTTAAAGGAGACCACTGAGTCCACTGATCTCAGGCTCAGGGGGAGAGAGTTCCAGAGTCTGGGGGCCACAGCAGCAGATGATCTGCCCACTGATTTCCCTCGTTTCTATCATTTTCTCTCTCCCTTTCCTTACATTTTTATCATAATTTATTTTTCTAATTTTAATCATATTTTTAATTTTTAAAATATATTTCCTATAATTAAAATTAATTGCTCTTGTGAAGCACCCTGTGATTTTTATCTTGAGACGCTTTATAAAAGATTGTTTTCTGTCTTTCCTGAAAGAGTTGGACCCCTCCAAGCCTGACAACACTGTCGTTCACCTTTACACCAAACAAAAGACCTCCTGAAGCATGACTCACAATAACTCAACAACAACAACTACAACATGTTCATCTAAAGCACATCAGATAGAAAGCTGAAACTAACAGCTAAAAACCAAAGATTCACATCCTGGAGAATGAAGCTCCATCAGTCAAGGGGGGGCCTGATCAGAAGCTGCCGCTGTGGGGGCTGAGAGGTCCCTGGAGGAGGGCTTGGAAGCATCCACACCTGATCTAGATGTCCACTTCTGTCCCTGTTTGTCCTCACCACCTTCAGTCCTCCTGGGCTGGTCTGGCCAACACCCAGCAGAAGGGTTTGATGGTTTCAAAGTGGCACCAGTTGGACTGCAGCCAGCAAACGTCCGTGTAACATACCAGTGGTCACATTTTCACCAACAAATTGACCAGAAATTAACTTTCATTTGCAGACACAAATGCTCCATCTGTCTGGCTCAGAAAAGAGAACTCTGCTCCAGTCCTGAGACCTGACATTCTCAGTCAAGGTCTCATGCAGCCGAAACTTCTGTGTCGTCACTCTGAGTGAAGTTCACCCTCCTCAGAGTTCCCAAGTGACTTTACAACTTATAGGTTGAAATGATCAAATGTGTTGAATGAACAAGATGTTTAAATCAAATGTTTGAAGAATCTGTGCATTAATCAATGATGGATTGAATATCATTCTTGCAAAGATCCATTTCAGATTTCGCCTACTCCAGATCAGCATGTGTTAATCTATCAGTACTCATACACATTATAATAAGATGATTATTAATGTTTAACACCCACTTCACATAAGTGTTTAAAACATTCTCATTCACACAGAGTTAACCATCTTTGTATCTAAAGGAAGGACTTCTGAGGTATTTTTGGTAAAGCCCTCAAATGTGTCAAATACTGATTTGCCAAATTTATCAACAATGTGATTCCATAAAACAGGAATTACTTCCTGATTAATGCTGTTTCTAGGGGAAGCATTTTGAAACCTTCTCTTTTGACATCAAGTCAATGCCTCTCTGCAACGCTGCAGGTGATATCACAATGTCCTGCCATCCATCCATCTTCTGAACCCGCTTGTCCACGTAGGGTTGCGGGGGGCGCTGGTGCCTATCTCCAGCAGTCAACGGGCAAGTAGGCGGGGTACACCCTGGACAGAGAGCCAGTCCATTGCAGGACAAACAATCATGCACACACACACTCACACCTAAGGACAATGTAGACAGACCAATTAACCTAACAGTCATGTTTTTGGACGGTGGGAGGAAGCCGGAGCACCCGGAGAGAACCCACGCATGCACCTGCCATTAAAACACTAATTGTATTTATTGTGTTTTACAACTGTTCTAACCAAATCTGCAGGTCCTGTGGTTGAGCCCATTGTTGCAACATGCTGCCAAAGCCTTATTGGCTGCCTGACCTGCGCTGAAGAGTGGAAGAAAAATTCTGCGTTTTGCCCAAAATGTCGAGCAGATGAGTTTGACACGCACGCACACACACACACACACACACACACACACACACACACACACACACACACACACACACACACACACACACACACACACACACACACACACGCACACACACACACACACACACCAAGTAATGTGTCTATAGTTACATTGTGATGTCTTAGTAAATATTCTATTTGGTGAAAGATAAACTTTATTGTATTTATCCTAGTGGATCTATAATTAAACAGATAAACTAGTATTAGCACATCAAAAGTCAAGGAAAGCAAAAAGTTATTATCAGGAGAGGGAGAATGTATTAGTGGTTAGCAGCAGTGTGCTAGTCGATGGCCCCCTCCATGAGGCCACCACAGCTGAGCAGAACATCATTGTAGCTTCTTCTGGGGAGAAAAACACTTAGAGAGAAAATAAAGTTAACAGCTGAAATTGCAGAAAATAATACAGCTAAAGAGCAGACTGTAGAAGAAAGTAATCGAGTGTGGAAAGTGGTCAATGTATCCTCCAGCAGTCTAAGCCTATAGCAGCATAACTACAGAGACAACTCTGGATAATCTATCCTATTTAGATGGAGGCATGTTGGAGGCAGGGCAAGGGAGAGCCGTCTTTACCGACTGACACTCCACCTCCATCTACTCCCCCACTTGTCCAGATCTAAGCTAACATCAGATTTTAACCATAGGCCCTATCAAATAAAAATGTTTTAAGCATTGTCTTAACAGTAGACAAAGTGTCTGCCTCACGGACTAAAGCTGGGAGCTGGTTCCACAGGAGAGGAGCCTGATAACTAAAAGATCTGCCTCCCATCCTATTTTTAGATATTCTGGGAACCACAGTCTGAGAGCGAAGTGCTCGGTTAGGAACGTATGGAACAATCTTGATTATTAAGAGCTTTATATGTGAGAAGAAGGATCTTAAAATCTATTCTGAATTTAACAGGTAGCCAATGTAGGGAAGCTAAGACAGGATCTGTCTGTTCCAAAAGTAGACAACCAAGTAAGTGAGGATCCCAGGTCCTGCTCATACATGTTTGCAACAACAGAGGCACATGGCAGCAGCTCCTCAGAGACTTCAGTAAGACATCTGTCTGCTGACAGTTCATTGGGTATCCCACGGCCTAAAAAACAGATTCAAGCAAATTTAGGTTGGACGTACCGGGAATGAAAAAGATCAATATATCTCTAATGTTACACAGTAAATTTGCTTTGCTGTTGTAACAAAATGTCCCCACAAAGGGACAGTGTGGAAAGTTTATATTCTATTGTATCTTAAAGAGTTGTAAATACAAAGTTAAAGATACCTGGGATCCTGTGTGCATTCCATGACTGAACAACTCGGTTAAGTCCTATTTGGCTTACTTGACATGTCAAATTTGATACGCAGAATCTAGTCAGGTTGTCCTCCAGGCTCACAGCTTCCTGGTCCAGCAGGTGCACCAAAGCCTGTTTCAGGGGGTAGTTAACACGATTGTTCACCTCTGGCCACAACCTTTCCACTCGAAGGTTCTGTTGATTACAAATTCAAATCAAGTACTCAAAAAAATGCAATTTTAACAAGAGAAAATGTAACATTATTATTATTTTTTTCAGAATCATAATTATTTGTCATGTAAATTTACAAGCTCAACTCCACTTTTACACACAGGTATGATTTTTTTGTAGGAAAATGCACGTTTGAAGGTATAAATGTACAAAAGTGTACATTTAAACTAAAGACCTTATATAAATAGCAGTCACAGTATGTAGTAGTCTACTGTAGTAAGATTAACTGAATGAGTTGCTAATTTGCATTTCAGTAATACTAAAATCTCACCCTTGTTGATGTGGTTTGGAGGTATGGTGGCCTGCTGAGGTTGCGCCTATGTTGCGACAGCTTTTCTTGCATGGAAAGACACAGATAAAACTCTCTGCCATGGTCAACCCTGACTTGATCCCACATACCATGGTTCATGACTGCAGGTCTGGAATAAACAATGTTTACATGACTGAACTGAAATTTACAGACTCAAAAGAAAGATGTAGATATTGAAAAGACAATACAGAAGAGTAAGAAATTATGAATTGTTCCTCTGGTAGCTATGACTATATTTACCTGTATAAATGACAAGGTTGTTTTTCACTGGCATGGCAGAATGTGCAACAATCTTGCTGCTGTAGCCATCAACGGCCAACACGTGCGTCACACCAAACATCACCAGCTTTTCATTTTGGTCCAGATGTAGTTTATGACCCATATATTTGGCATGATAGGGAACTGGATTCAAATTTCGAGCACCCTATGTGAAAAAAAAAAAGTTTCAATGAATGCAAACTCCCATATTTTCCATATTAGCTAACAATCTTCATGAAAATTTTTTAAATAATAAATGTTTACATTTACAAACAACACTTGTTTAGAAACTGTTGTACAGGAAATAGTTATGACATTGCACTTTTTTTAGTTCACTCTTGGATTGAGCACAGTTGTATAATTTATACCAGCAAAACTCGAAAGCGGTACCAGTATTACAATTTTCCACACAAGAAAAAAACATTGGATTTTTTTCTTCTTCAAAAAAATTAATAACTTAATCAAAATTGTGGTTTTTCTAAAACAACAAATATCTTATTTTAGGCCTTTATGCACTGTACGTAGGCGGGGCAGTCTGACTTTCATCCGAGTTTTCCATTTTTTCATAATACTCTTGTTATTGTCACGAATCTAAGAATATTTTCTTTTTTTTTTTTTATTTCATGGTTCCTCTTTCAGATATTTATCAAAATAAGTAAATTGTCTCTTTTCAAAAGGTCTTGTAACTGTTGCAGCTCCAAACCAGTTTCGGTGGACTGGATGAGGGAATGCCTATTTGGATTGTAGGTTGCAGACCTCTAATTTACATGTTGTTTTCAAACCCACAGACATATATACATAGATGCCCCGTGGACTGGAGCTGCCGTAGTGGCCAGCCGCCATTTTAGACGGGCCTCCATTCGCCCCCAGTGCATTCATTTCTACTGAGGAAGGTGCTTAAACAGCTAAAAAACACATTATATAATGTTTTTTCACAAAATCAGACACATGATATGGCATGATAATTAAAATATAAATATACTTAAACAAAATTATTTAAATACATTTATAAATAAAATCCTATCAGGTAGTCTAGGAAAGTCACTAGTAATCCCACACGACCCGTTTTCTATTGTACACCAGTTGTAACCGTAGGTGGCACAGAAACAGGCCTAGTTGCTCGCTCTAAATTGACTTTGGAGAGTGATGAGACCCGTCCAATATGGCGGCAACACTGTTATGCTCTCCAGCACCCAATGGGGCGTTCATTTCAAGTTTTAATGTTATTAGTCAGTCTCAGTAGTTAATTTAGTATGTAATTTTACAGCCACATTTTAATTGTCTGTCAACTGCATTAATTTAAGTATCATACCTCACGCCGGAATTCATGGAATGGCTGATGGAGCTCCGTTAGGATTCTTCCAACCCGAACTTCTCCTGCATGCAGCCCCATTATGACAGATAGCCAGTCATGAACTTTACGGCCATATGAGGGTCCAGTCTGTCAGGAAATTATACATTTAACTGAATGTTTTGGTAAATAAACTGTAGAAATCTGATTATAAACTTACTTCGTATATCGATCCAGCCACAGCTCGCTCTAATGCCTGGTCCGACACTTGTCTTTTTCTCTTTAGCTCATGCCGAGCTTAGAATCTTCTGACGCTCATTTCTGAGCACGGTAGGATGTTCATCTGCTGCAGCGTGTAGGCGATTTGTGTGTGTGTCAAACCGGTGTTGAATAAACTCGTAATCAAATTAGTGTGTGATTCTAGTGCTGCCATGTTGTCGATGTCACCAGATTACCCGCACTTTTCTACTCAACTTCCGGGTCACGTAATCCCAAATGATGAAAAATTAAAATCAAATTCGGTCCAGCGGCCGTTTTTCCATTTCTCATATTTGATCCGAGACTAAAATAGAAAACACGAAAAATACGACTTTTTTCTTTTTTTAAATTTCTTTGTAAAACAAAAAACAACAAAAACAAATCAAATTTTCCTTTTTTGATTGTTTGTTTTCAATCGAAAATAGAAAGAACGAATGATACACTGATTATATATTTACATATGTATGTATATATAAATGTGTGTGTCAGAAATATATTTAACCAGATGAGTCGATGGAGAACTCATTCTCATTTACAACAACGATCTGGCTAAGAGGCAGCAGCAACAGACACATAATTAGCTTTACATCAAAGAAAAACAGATGAGATAAAAACAAACAAGATTAAAATAAAGATAAAGTAAATAACAAAATTATTATAACAGGTGTAAAACTAACTTGTCTTTAAGTATTTGTTTGAGGAAGATATCACATGTTATGTGTTTATTAGTCCCATTCTGAACACACAGGAGTGTTTTATTCTGCTCCAGCAGGTGACGGTAGTGCACCTTTACGCTGGTCACCGACCACCGGAAGAAGCAGAAACAAGAAGCTGCTAGCAGAGCTAGCTTGTTGTTGCTCTGGTGTGTGAGGAGAATATTTGAGGCTCTGCAGTAAAATGTCTTCACTTCAGTCTCTGGGAGAGTTGATCAGCTAAAGCGACTAACTGCTGCTGCTGCAGAAATCTTCTCACCAGGCTGTGGAAACTTTCTTCTCCTCCTCAACAACTTGGTGGAGTTCTTTCCAGAACCAGAGAAGATATTCTGCGGTCTTCGTGACAATCGGAGCTCCAGAATCAGGTTGTGGGTGAGAAAAGCTTTTCTCCAGACTTCCTGCCCTCTGGATCTGCTGCTGTTCCTTTGGCCAGAACCAAAGCGTTGGATCTTTAATCTCCTGCGTTGTTCTGAAGCAGCATCTTAATCAGCTCTCCTGCTTTGTTTCTATTGCAGCTGTTAGCTAAACACGGCTAAAGAAAACCTGCTACCACTTCAGGATCATCCATCAGCTGGGACTGATTCATCGTGTGTTCTTCACCACCTGGACCTGGACAGCATGGACACAGGTAGGGCTGACACCTTTCAGATATGTAAATAAGTAAATGAGTTGGAGAAGTGGTTTTTCTCTTAGACAGATGTGTTATTCACACAGGTGAGAAACATCTGTAAAAACCAGATCTGGTGCAGGAAAATAGCTGAACAGGGAGTGGGGACACACTTTGCCTTCTGCGGTTGTAAATGATAATAATAATAATAATAATAATAATACATCAATCTTATATAGCGCTTTTTAGGTCACTCAAAGAGGCTTCACAAAAAATGTAATAAACACATAATAAAACAACATGAAACATAGTAAACAGACTGGGGGATGCTGGGTTGATCTTAAAGAGCAAATAGCAGGTAATTTTTTTTTCTAATTCATATAAAATGCTGTCCAAAAATACAATTTGAAATGCTTATTGTGGATATTTGGTTTTAAAACAGCAGTTTTCTATTAAAAAGTGTGCTTTCTCAGCAAAGCTGTGTTCAAAGGGTTGTTCAAATGAAAAAAATAAAATATAAAGACTGAACAAACATTCATACCCTGGTTCACCGGAGATCTGTCCTTCTTCGTGGTCACTGTCTTCAGATATAAGCCTTCTGGGACACTTGATAGATCGTGTTGATTTTCTTTGAGGCATTTCCATAATTTCATGGTGGATTTTGTGCTAATTAGCTTCCCCGTTCCGATATCCGCTTTCACCGCGGCGCTGCGCTCCGTTTCAATCCGGCTGTACAGAAGGATTTCCCTCATAGCGATAGTTTCCATAATTCTGATTGCTTCATGCTATAGATTGTTGGAAAGCTGCTTTTATGTACTTGTAGGAACCGTTGGAACTTTTTCAATCTGATCAGCATTCAAAAGTTATAAAACGGAGCATTTTGGATAACAAACTCAGCACGTCTCTGAATCTGTGTTGTGATTCATTGCGCTGAAGACAGGGACTCCCGGTGGCTACCATAATGTATTGTATATGCACGAAAAGCCCCAATTTTAATCTTTTAAGCACTTTTGGAATTTTAATGATATCTTGAACGGTTCAGGAATTATGGTAATGAGAAGCATGTCCAATCCCGTCTGCGGCCACATGTTGGTAATAAGAATATTGTGGCACTAACAGAGGGGTGCCGGCGGTCAGGGCTAGGGGGCCCCCCAACACAAGGGGGCCCCAGGCGGCTGCCTACCTATGCCTAATGGTAAAACCGCCTCTGCTATTATGTTATTATTACAACACTAGAAATAAATAATGAGGTAAATATTCTGGATCAGCACCATGAAGCACCTGCGTGATTCGTGCAGATCTGATGGGGAACAAATAGGTGTTTTTCTTTTTTTTTTTTGGGGGGGGGGGGTAGCGAGGCTGGCTTTTTCAGTTAAATGAGTTTCAGTATTATCCACTAGGGAAAATATTCAAGAGGATTTTTAGAAAGCCCCCAACACCACAAAGAGTAGATTAAATAAATAAATCTGTCGGAGCCGGTGACGCGTGACCCGCACAAACGCAGGTCGAAGGAGCTCAGAACAGTCAAAACAGAAACTATAATATAGTTTAGCTGTCAGCCTGTAGAAGTTCCTGCTGAACTTTATTCTGTTTCATGAACCAGGGTGACCTGGGTTTATGTTAAATTCAACTTTAAAACTGGGAGAAAACTTCAGTCTACCTTTGAGTTAGATGTTTTCTTCTTGTTTGCTTGTTTCTCCTCAGAGACACGCTGGATATAAGGAGATGATAAAAGTCAAAATGTCCCCAAAGGAAGGGTCAGTTAGCTGGTTAGTGAAGGGTCAGTTAGTTGGTTAGTGAAGGGGAGGTAGCTTAGCCTGGCCTGCCAGACTCCTCCTCTGTTTAATTCCGCACAGAGAACGGCTCTGGGAACTCTCCTATTCAAATAAGCCCACCCGCTGAGAAGTCTAACCCAGCCAATCAGCGCTGAGCAGCGTTCGTCACACACCATAACGCCGAGTTTGTCATTATAGGGTTGGGGAAATTGAGAAATAAACATGGCGACTGAGGCGGAGTTCGCAGCGGTTCTTTCCTCTGTCATGAATGGATTGGACACGCCTTTAAAACAAGTAGAAGTGCTAAAAAACTTTCTTCGAAAGAAAGATGTTTGCACTGTCGCCAGACGCCGTTTTTGACTACAGCTAAAAACTGAGCGTTGCAGACGTCACACACAGCGCCGCTCAGTTTCTCATAAACAATGAAGACAGCGGCGGAGTTCGTTGCGGCTCGTTCCTCTGATCTAAATAACCTGAATGTCTTTAAAACCACAACAAGTAGAAGCGCTAAAAGCATTTCTTCTAAAAAAAAAAAATGTTTGCGCCATTGCCAGATGCCTTTTTTCACTACAGCTAAAAAACGTTCCGCGGTACAGTCAGCATTTCTGTCTTTTTTCTGATTGGTTCTTTTTGAGGTGGCTAGTCCCGCCCCCATGTGTCTCTCTGCCTGTGAGTTACCAGACTCGTTCTCTGTGCAGAATTAGAGGACGAGTCTGGCAGGCCAGGCTAGAAGTAGCTGTCATTAAACCCTGATCCAGCCCACTGCCTCCTGCTGTTGTTGTTATTATTATAATATTATCACAAATATAAAACAAGCATCTTGGAAGTTTAGTGTTTATGGTTTTAGTGTTTTCAGCAGCAGAGCCTGGTTCGTGCTTTGTCACATTTCCTTTGGGTTCAAACAAAATAACAAACCAGGCCAAACATGTAATTTCATGTTGTTTGTCTTATTTCATCCATAATTCATTTAGTTTGTAAAGTTCAATTTTTAGGCTGTTAATTTAAAAACAATCATTTAATTATAATTAAATAACCTGTTAAAAGCACTAGAATATGGCAAATAACATCTGCTCACTAAAATGTTTCTGTGGGAGACCCCCAGACCAACTCCCCCGTCACCTGATGTCTCCGTCCTCAGAGCTGAGGACAATACTGGGACATGTGGCTGACATGTCTCCGTCTTTGTCTCTTCTCAGAGGAACAGAAACTTGTTAGCAGAAGGTAAACGAAGGCTTTGCTACTCTGAGAGCAGGGACACGTAGAAAACATGCAGCCACTGTGGCCTTCAAGGACTAGTTCTACTCTCCCTGTTAATGTTCAAAAGTACTGGTACCTTCATCTGCAGCAGGTTCACTTGCTGGTGTGTGTGTGTGTGTGTGTGTTTGTGTGTGTGCGGCTACTTTTTTCGATGTGGAGTATAACCTTTTTCACCCTTGACCCATTTTCATGTCTGTATTTTGCGTGTCTTTAGCCCCGCCTACTAGCTTGGAGATTTCCCCGTTCCTAAGAAGTGTGTGTAAACAAAACCTACTGGTGCGGGACCCGGACCGACGCAACGCAGTCCGGTCTGTGCTGCCCCAGATGTGAATGCGCCAATACAGGCCCGATTAGCCACATGACGAATTGTTCTTTTAGATATCAAGCATGTCATGAATGACTATCACTGAGTGGGCCAGAGTAACGGCAGGCCACCGGGAAGTTTCCCGGTTCTCCTGATTACCAGTTCATTTAAGGAACTAATGTTGTTGTATTCCTAACCCAAACCTCAACTAAAAGTTAATTCACCCCATGCTTCTAAAACTAAAGTAGTTTTTTTTTACTGTGATAATCTGTCAAATGTTCTCACAGTTTTAACATGTCCCCATGTTAGAGGTGAAACGTCAAAAATATGTCCTTGCAGCATACATAAGATATGCCAGCAAACACACACACACACGCACGCACGCACGCACGCACGCACGCACACACACACACACACACACACACACATTATTCCCAGGCTATAAGGGTAAACTGTCTAGTCAGCATGCAGCTCAGTGAATTTAATGTCCTAGTCGAGTGGGTGGGAACAATAGATCTTTATATGATAGGCGTGAATATCCGTCTTTTATTTAGTGTTTGTCAGGGCTCCTGAGACATTTAAGTTTCATATTATTTATAGAGGCTCAAAGTTCAATTCCGTTTGCAATTGTAAATACATTTCATTCTACTGTCAGTTTAAAGAAATAATACAAATGTCATATGTGTAAAACAAAGTTACAGCTGTCTGTAATTCACATAATGTTTCTGTGTTTCCTACAGATTTTCAACAGGTGGTTCTGGTTAAAAATAGAAGCTTCAGAAGAACAGAGTGCTCGTGTCAACCACCAGCACCTAGATTTTCTCCACAAAAAGGAGGAACAGGAGAAACTCTGGCCCAGTATGGAGGGAGAGCATCTCCATTTGAATAAGGAGACTGATGCTGCCAGGTTTCAATCCTTTTAATCCTTTTACCCATAAAACACATTTAAACATACACACAAGAGTCCACACAAAACAGAAACATTTTGCCTGTGAGCACTGTGGACAAAGATTTCAACAAAAGACTAATTTAAACAGTCACATGAGCATCCACACAGGACAGAAACCTTTTCCATGTGACCTCTGTGGAAAAAGGTTTAGCCAAAAGTCAACTTTAAACAGTCACATGAGAGTCCACACAGGACAGAAGCCTTTCCCCTGTGACCTTTGTGGAAAAAGATTTAGCGGAAAGTCAACTCTAAACGTTCACATGAGAGTCCACACAGGACACAAGCCTTTTCCGTGTGACCTCTGTGGAAAAAGATTTAGCCAAAAGTCAACTTTAGAAAGTCACATGAGAGTCCACACAGGACAGAAGCCTTTTGCTTGTGATCTCTGTGAAAAGAGATTTGGCCTAAAGTCATTTTTAAAAATTCACTTGAGAGTCCACACAAGACAGAAGCCGTTTGCCTGTGAGCTCTGTGGAAAAAGATTTAGCAGAAAGTCAAATCTAAACATTCACATGAGAGTCCACACAGGACAGAAGCCTTTTCTTTGTGACCTCTGTGGAAAAAGATTTAGCCTAAAGTCAACTTTAAACTGTCACATGAGTGTCCACACAGGACAGAAGCCTTTTGCTTGTGATCTCTGTGGAAAAAGTTTTAGCCTAAAGTCAACTTTAAATAGTCACATGAGAGTCCACACAGGACAAAAGCCTTTTGCTTGTGAGCTCTGTGAAAAGAGATTTAGCCAAAAGACCCATTTAAATAGTCACATGAGAGTGCACACAGGACAGAAGCATTTTGCTTGTGAGCTCTGTGAAACAAGATTTAGCCGAATGTCAAATTTAAAAAGTCACATGAGACTCCACACAGGTCAGAAGCCTTTTGCTTGTGAGCTCTGTGAAAAGAGATTTAGCCAAATGTCAACTTTAAACAGACACATGGGAGTCCACACAGGACAGAAGCCTTTTGCTTGTGAGCTCTGTGAAAAGAGATTTGGCCTGAAGTCAACTTTAAACAGACACATGAGTGTCCACACAGGACAGAAGCCTTTTTCTTGTGAGCTGTGTGAAAAGAGATTCAGCCTAAAGTCAACTTTAAACAGACACATGAGTGTCCACACAGGACAGAAGCCTTTTGCCTGTGAGCTCTGTGGACAAAGATATAGCCAAAAGTCAACTCTAAACATTCACATGAGAGTCCACACAGGACAGAAGCCTTTTCCGTGTGACCTCTGTGGAAAAAGATTTAGCCTAAAGTCAACTTTAAACACACACATGGGAGTCCACAAAGGACAAAAGCCTTTTGCTTGTGAGCTCTGTGGAAAAAGATTTAGCCGAAAGACCCATTTAAATAGTCACTTGAGAGTCCACACAGGACATAAGCCTTTTTCTTGTGAGCTATGTGAAAAGAGATTTAGCCTAAAGACCCATTTAAATAGACACATGAGTGTCCACACAGGACAGAAGCCTTTTGCTTGTGAGCTCTGTGAAACGAGATTTAGCCGAATGTCAACTTTAAAAAGTCACATGAGAGTCCACACAGGACAGAAGTCTTTTGCGTGTGATCTCTGTGAAAAGAGATTTAGTCTAAAGTCAACTTTAAACAGACACATGAGAGTCCACACAGGACAGAGGCCTTTTGCTTGTGAACTCTGTGGAAAAAGATTTAGCCTAAAGTCAACTTTAAATACTCACATGAGAGTCCACACAGGACAGAAGCCTTTTACTTGTGAGCTCTGTGGAAAAAGATTTAGCCTAAAGTCAACTTTAAATAGTCACATGAGAGTCCACACAGGACAGAAGCCTTTTGCTTGTGAGCTCTGTGAAAAGAGATTTAGCCAAAAGAGCAATTTAAATAGTCACATGAGAGTCCACACAGGACAGAAGCATTTTGCTTGTGAGCTCTGTGAAAAGACATTTAGCCGAATGTCACATTTAAACAGACACATGAGAGTCCACACAGGAAATAAGCCTTTTCCTTGTGAGCTCTGTGGAAAGAGATTTAGTCAAAAGTCAACTTTAAACCTTCACATGAGAGTTTACACAGGACAGAAGCCTTTCGCATGTGAGTTCTGTGGAAAAAGATTTAGCGAAAAGAGAAATTTAAACAGACACATGAGAGTCCACACTGGCCTTTCGCCTGTGAGCTCTGTGGAAAAAGATTGATCCAAAAGACAAATTTAAACGGTCACATAAGAGTCCACAAAGGACAGAAGCCTTTTGCTTGTGAGCTCTGTAGACGAAGATTTAGCTGAAAGAAAACTTAAAATAATCATCTAAGCATCCACTAGGGCTGAACGATTTATTGCAGGGGTCTCCAACATTTATTGGCCCGTGAGCTGCTTTTACACAATGAAAGCACAGCAGAGTTACTGCCATATGATTTATTTACATTGATACTTTCCATGTGTGAATGTGCTTATGTTAAAAATGCTATACTTACTCTATTAACATGCATTGTATTCACAATTGATTTCTCTGTATTTCAATACATCAGTATATATTTTTAAAAATATAAGTAAACTAGTGACATTCTGAAAACCAAATAGAACAAAACATATTTAGTTTTTTAAACTAATCCGATACATTCAAATGATGAGTTACAAATCTACTTCATGTGAATGATTTGGCATTTTTTTAGAAGGTTAATAACAACTTTAAGCACACAGGAACAGCTAACCTGTAAAGCTGATGATATTTTAAATAAAATACAAGCTAAATGTGATGAAAACACACAATTGTAAATAGTTTGAATTGAAATAGAAAATATAAAATCAGAAAAAAGATTTGTTCCTGCTCTCCTGATTGACTGAAACATTTTTATGGGATTTTTTTTTTGGGTCATAAAAGTTAAGTTTTGCTGCGTTTATTGCTGACAATATTAAGGTTGGAGGTTTATCCTTTTTTTTGGAGGTTAAAAGATGTATTGCACGTTGCTGGAAAAACCGAACATTTGTGCAACCTCAGACTGGTTGGAAGCTATGACTTCCTTTCTGGCTTTAGAACGAATAAGCTATTTTACAAAAAATATGTTAGATAAATTTGATGAGATCTGGAAGTTATTTTTTGCTTTTTTGGAAATGGGTCATACAATGTGAAACAACAAAGTAATTTGATATTGTTAATGTATGCAGGAGGTGTATGTCTTTTTCTTTTCCTTTTTTCACTTTATCTCATTCCTTTCTTTATTTTTTGTTCTACTTCAAATATGCCATACATTCGGGTCTGCTAACAGAAGGGAAATGAAAAATGGTATTGGGTACAATGTTTTCATGTTTATGTTAATTTATATATTTATGCCACATAATTGTCTCTTGTGCTTTTTATTTTATTTTTATTTTATGTTTTGAGTGGAGATATGTTCATTATATGTGTTGGTACCCAAATGTAGAAAATCAATAAAAAAATTGTTTAAAAAAAATGACAGGAGAAAGAAAAAGAGGCTCTCATACAAGATGTTTCCACACGGTGGAATTCAACACTGGATATGATATCTCGTCTACTAAACAATCAAGAAGCAGTTTCAGCTGCTTTAAACAAACAGAAACACAAGCTAGTCTTGTTAACTCCATCAGAGCTGGTGAAACTCCAAAGGCTGGCAAGTGTCAATGAGCCATGCAGGTAAATAAAACTTTTCTTACAGTTTGTTTTTATTTTATAGTTGACAGTTATTGTAGATTTATAAAAAATTGTTTTCCTGGACTTTCTACTGCAGATTCGTGACTGTGCTCCTGGGAGGCGAGACTTATGTCTCAAGCTCTGTCGTCTTACCTGCTCTCTGCCACCTGCATCACACCATGGCAGTCTCTGATGATGACTCAAACTACATGGTGAAATTCAAGACTGCCTTCACCAAGGACTTATCCCAACGTGCAGCTACTCTGAATCATGAATGGCTTAAGATGGCTACTGTGCTCGACCCACGCTTCAAGGATTTAAAGTGCATTGCAAAGGGAGAGCGAGAAGAGGTTTGGCGCAGCCTTGAAACCATACTGCAGGACCAGAGCACGGATGCCCCCACACAGGAGCCAGCAAAGAAAAAGAGCCTGCTTCTCACATCATTGTCTTCAGACTCTGATTCAGACGAGGAAGTCCTATGCAACAGGGCCCTGAGTTTATAGGTTTATACAGAGCAGAATCCACCATCAGCGAAACAGACTGCCCACTGCAGTGGTGGTCCAGTCGAGCTGGGACCCACTCACAGTTGTCTGTTCTGGCCCGCAAGTTCCTTATTAGTCCTGCCACTTCTGGCACCATTTCTAAATCAGCACCTTCACAACACTTTTTGTTTGCTTCTCGAAGCTGCTTCAAAGAAAAGCAAAACATCAAAGGTTTCTCCCACATAATTTACAGAAAATATTTGTCAGAAAATCTTTTTCAGTTTGTTTATTGGTCATGAAATCAAGAGAAAAATATAATTGGTCACAATGAATTGATAGAACATCACCAATACAACATTTATTTACTCTTACGTTGGTCAGGGCTTTTGAAGAAACTGTTAAAAAATAATAAAAATGTGTGTTTATTAGTCCCATTCTGAACACACAGGTGTGTTTTATTCTGCTCCAGCAGGTGGCGGTAGTGCACCTTTACGCTGGTCACCGACCACCGGAAGAAGCAGAAACCGGAAGTTGCTAGCAGCGTTAGCTTGTTGTTCTGGTGTGTGAGGAGAATATTTGAGGCTCTGCAGTAAAAATGTCTTCACTTCAGTCTCTGGGAGAGTTGATCAGCTAAAGCGACTAACTGCTGCTGCTGCAGAAATCTTCTCACCAGGCTGTGGAAACTTTCTTCTCCTCCTCAACAACTTGGTGGAGTTCTTTCCAGAACCAGAGAAGATATTCTGCGGTCTTCGTGACAATCGGAGCTCCAGAATCAGGTTGTGGGTGAGAAAAGCTTTTCTCTAGACTTCCTGCCCTCTGGATCTGCTGCTGTTCCTTTGGCCTCTCTGAGAAACGCGCTCGTTTTGCTGCTTTCATCAGATTGAAGAGGTTCCCTCTATCAGACTCGCTCATCTGAGTTGGTCATGATGCAGGATCGCTGCTCGCTCTCTGATCCATCCTGCTCACACTCTCTGACGGTAAAGCCCCGAATCTGAATGTGACTCTGGAGGAAAAAGCTGTTAGCTCTACTCCGTGAACTCTGGTGAGCAAAGGTCCTCTTTTCCAGACTGGATCTGTCCTCAGCTGATCAGAACCAAAGCGTTGGATCTCTAAAGGTGCAGTATGAGATAAGACTATAATTTGTGCGTTACCACATCTCAGACAGATAAATGAGTGCAAAAGTTACCTAGAATGCAAAAATAAATAAATAAATAAAATAAAAAGACTTTATGTACAACAGTAGTTTCTATGTAGAAACAGACACAGTAAGCATTATGGATGGGGGTTGGGGAACACTGGAAGTAATAATACATAAAAAGTATCAGCTGTTCTGCTACAACTACTATTTACTGTCTAAGTGATAGATATCTGTAAATACAACAATGAACATGTACGCACACGTGTACAAATGTACATACATCAGGTGTATTATGCATGGAGTACTGACCATAGCGTTAAAGGGGCTGGGTGACTCGTGAAATCATAATGTGTAGCAGTCTCTGACTGAAGGAGCTGCTCAGTGCACCCACCAACTCGTGCAGAGGGTGATGTGGTTGTTCATGATGTCAGCTTAGCCAACATCCTCCTCTTGCCCACCACCACCACAGACTCCAGAGTAGGGCTGCAACAAACGATTATTTGGATAATTGATGAATCGGATGAGGTCTCGACACGATTAATCGATTAATCGGATTACATAGGGACATTTTTAAAAACTGCTAGGGAAACGTTATTTTTCTCCTTCCTTCACTTTATTTAACACAACATTATTAGAAAACAGTTCAATAGCAGAAAAACAGCATGCCATCACCTAAATTGTCTTATAAGGTGTATAGACAGAGACCCTAAGCTACACCTATCTGTGACCTAAAATGCTTGGTCAAGGTTAAACAGCTTAAAGAGCAAGTCAACCCCTACCAGAGTCTAACTCCACTCCCACTTCATGTTTGAAAAATGCAACAAATGCTGTTGCCTGGCAGACCGAGAGGGCAGAGCTGCTAACAAACACACACTCAGGCTCACGACAGCATTGTGACATCATAATGTACCATTTTACATCATAGCATACTTCTTAGCCAATAGCGGTGGTAGATTTAAATTAAAATACAGTGCAGAGTTTTTACCTGACAACGGCACAACACTGCCAGTTTTAGGCAGAATATTTAAATTTTAACTAAGATGCACTGAAGTGCTAGCCTAGTGAACTAGACCAAATTCTTGCTTTGCAAAGTTTGGTCTAGGCATGCTCCATTGGAACCTCCACAGCTCCTACCAGGACTCTGGCTAGCCAATCACAGCTCTCTAGAGGGGTTTCAAACACATAAAGAGCTGTGATTGGTCCATAATGGTGGGCCAATCATAGTGCTCTATCTGCTTAGTGAACAAATCACAGAGCTTTATCCGCTTTGTGGGCCAATCAGGGCACTCTATATGCCTGGTGGGTGGGATGATGCAACAGAGTGAAACAAGAGTATGTCACATTCATTGTCCAGTAGCATGCGGAGATCATTTGAAAGACAACCGTAGAACCCGCCCCACAACCGAGAGCCGTCAATGGAGCGTGGCCAGACTAAATAATAAATTTATTTAGTCTGGCTTGCCAGGCTACTGAAGTGCCAAATTATTGACGACACGTGTCTGCAGCACAATAGACACTCGTTTATTTAACTTATCAGCAAAAAAAAAATTTATTTGGGGGTGACTTGCTCTTTAAGGGCAATTCTCATCTGTTTTGTTTGATCTCATCTGTAGACATTTATTATAATTGGGGATGTAAAACAACTAATTTTTAAATGTAATTAAACATAGGCTGTGAATTAATCAAAATTAATCACTACTTCCAAATAGAGCTGAAACAACTAATCGATTTAATCGATTATAATCGATTATTAAAATAGTTAACAACTTTTTTAGTCATCGATTAGTTGTTTAATAATCATATTTTACCGCATAAAGTCTATTTTTTACCACAATCTGACATCGGTTACAAGCTGTTAAATTTGCCGCCAGTGTGTGGCAGTAATGAGCCACTGATCTACCAGTGGAGCCGTTGAAGAAGAAATGAGCCAATGGGTGCCCTCGGTTTTCATGACGTATCACGTTACTGACGCTCATCTTGCTGTGAGAAAATGGCGGAACAAGAGGAAATACGGAAGAAAAATAGAAGCGACAAAACTGAAGAGAAACCCCGGACAAAAACCTCACGAGTATGGGAGCACATTTGAGACGAAAGCATGTGGGGGCTGATGCAGCAGAGGAAGAGCACCGCGGTCAAGTGAGCCGTCATTTGGAAGAGCCAGCCCGGTAAGTAACAGAAAATAAACAAGCTGGACTTAGTGTTTTAGCTGAGTTCGTTATAGTGGATGTTAAACATGTTTTTTTGCCGCGTCAGTCTGCGGTGTTCTACTTCTGATTGACTAGATGCAATCGTGAATCTCCTCCGTGTTGTGTATCATGCGCTTGCCAAATTTAGCACGTCTGTTTATAAGAATGTTCTCGTTAAGAGAAAAACGGCACAAACCCATAACTATGTTCCTCATTCAAAAAAGGACAACTCCGCGGAGAAAAATATACAGACAAGCTGTGTCCAGGTGAATATAACGCGGCATAGTTGTACACTTTCAATTTTTAAATACAGGAGAAATTCAGAAAAAGTCATTTTTTTACTATTAAAAGGCTGTTTTACTATCTAACGCTGTAAAACGCCTCACAACACATTTTTATCATGTTTCTTAAACAGTATTACACAAAATAAACATTTTTCACATTTCTCTGGCTAATTTAAACACTCCCGACTCAAAGTAAAAACCTCATGAGCTTCTTACTTAGAGCTTTTTAATAGTAAAAATGTTTTACTTTTTTTCTGAATATCTCCTGTTGCGGGCTATTTTGTAGAACGTAACCCTCAAAATAAATGATCACTGTATATTGTTAATTAATTCAAATAATATAATATTGATTTAGTGTTGTAGTGTGTGTGCTGCTTTATTTTATATGTGTACTTATTTCAGTCTATTTGTGTTTCTTATGCAGAAAAAAACAAGCAACGATGGACAACTACATGGGGAAGAAGACACTCACCCCCCAGCAATTCATACCACTTACAAACTCTATTCTAAACATGCTGGTAAAAGACATGAGGCCACTATCCATGGTGGAAGGAGCAGGCTTCCAGCTAATGCTAAAAATTATTCTGGACTGATATTTTGCACTGTTTAGCTCATTTTATACTGCTGACTGTGTTCATGTGCAATAAAATAGATTGCAGTCAACTGCACAATTCTCTTATGTTTTTTTGGTCTTAACTGAAATGCATCCATCACTTGTATAGGTTAAATAGCTAAACAATAACAAACCGATTAATCGATTAATCGAAAAAATAATCGACAGATTAATCGATTATGAAAATAATCGTTAGTTGCAGCCCTACTTCCAAAAATGACTGAAAAAATACCAAATGAAACAAAAGTAAATGAATGCCACCCTCCTTGCGATGATGCCCTGGGCAACTGCCATAAAGTCACATCAAGAAATGCTGCTGATCATTCCAATGATCCCAAATAGACTCACATTAGGCCACATGAAAGCAACTGAACCCAAAAATATATTAACCAGTATATAACTGCACTCTCACACAACACGCCTGCAGCAACAGTTAGGACTCCTCCCTCCCTTTTAAAAGCGTTTTCGCTTCTGAGGACATCGTGGTTGTAAAACCACATGCTAGTAGTCTGGCCCCGGTGTGATCAACCAGTTTCTGCGGGAATGTGACAGCGGAACCGGTTCGCAGCAGCGCAAGTCCCCCCCCCCCCCCCCCCCATCTAATAGCGTCGCGCTTACGATTTTATAGACTTTTTTAACGAGCTTAGGGCATGTCTAGCCTGTGTAATAATCCGGGGCTTGGGTGAATC